TATTTATTATGAAAAAGATTACCGCATCGTCAAATTAGTCTTATTACACAAGAAATTATAATACTTATTACATGAGGTTTTACACAGTTTTAAACTAATTATTAGACTTATTACATAAGAATTATAATACAAGACTCATAAAGATATTTTCCCTCATTATTCTTGAAAACAGAATCTTGGTTTCATTATTAATATACTTTACGATTGGCAAGTTTTAGAGAGAATATATTTGCAAAATTTCAAGTAAGAAGAAACAAATTCATTTATATAAAGACAATAGTTTTTAGTAAAATTATTTTAATTTTTGCAAAATAAATCTTTACAGAGTTAAATTGATTATGCATTTTTATTTCCTTTTTAGACGTCCTACAGTCTGACATATGTTGAACGCAATGTACTCGCTTATAAAAAGTAAAAAGAATACAAATAATTCCTGAGGGAATTGTTAGGAACAGTTATGTAAAAGTTAGTATTTTTAGACAAACAGCTTATGATTAAACAGCTTTTGTAAAACTCTATATGAAAATATATGAAAACATGTACAAAATTTATATATGCGATATGTATATTGAAAAAAAGATTTGTATGATTTTTGTAAAGTCTTCTCCATATATTTTAATATATTAATATTAATTGTACTAAAATAATGTATATACTATAGATTTCTGAGAAAAAATTGTATAAAAATTATATATTTTAAAAGTTCATCAAATCATAAAGTTTTAATAGAAATTTTTGTCCATTTATCACAGTTTTAAACTAATTTTTATAAGTGATTTTATTTATTATCGGAAATAGCCAATTACGATAGAATAGCGCTTTTAACGTTACGAGCTTCGTGATTTGTAAAAGCCAAGCAGAATTGAGCTGAGGCAGCATAATTAGTCCCGAGAGTAAGCGTAAATGAGGAAAAATTGTGGACTTTTAACTAAACTAATTAAGCTCTCAAACGAGTGGTTACGTGGTAATGCATGTTTGCGTGAGCGCGAAGAGAATGTCACTTTATAATTTGCATTTTGTTCATCCCGCATATCGCGCAAAGTGATTAAAGTTTTTTGGCACTGTTATTCAATGTTTTTTCTATTAAATCCCAAAAATATCGTCGGTTTCACTTCCATTATTAAAAACAAAGGACAGCGATTTTAACATTAATTTTTCATAATCTTTTGTCCAATATGGATTTTACATACAAGGCGACAAAAAATTTTTCATATTTGTATATGTTTATCAAATCATTGCCCAGAGTAAGTTGACGTTATTTGTCGTCATTTGTGGATGTAAAAACGACGGGCAACTTCCTATATATCTGAATAATAATATATAATATATAAAAGAAAAAACTTAGTATCTGGAATGTGTGTTAGTTATATCTTATTAAATATCAAAAAAATTGTGCTAAAAAAAATTTCGGCTGATGAATTGAAGACATATCTCTATCTAAAAGAATTTATCCGTGGAAATATGCGTGACAATCGTGAATGCATTCTCGTAGTGTTTTAAAATTTATATCAAAGCTAAAGGTGACCATTTTGAATGTTAATTATTATTTAATAAGAGACAATGAACACTCCAAAGAAAAAGAGAGAAAAAGTTGTTTCTTATAATATGTTACTAATGTTTGATAAATACAAAACTTTGTAGCCAAAACTTTTTTCTATCACCGTGTGTATTTTTCTATTTCTTCTATTTTATACAAAGAAATATGCGCGCAAACAATATTTCTATTATTTAACAATCGAATTCTGAAACTCTCTAGTATTTTGCTTTCGCAAAACGTATGAGAAACATTTTTTTTATTTCAGATATCGCCGGTGGTTATTTGTGCTTTATCGTCAGCATTCTGGGGATTGGCGTGGTCACGGCGATAATCGGCGACGTTGCTTCGTATTTCGGTTGTACTTTGGGCATCAAGGATTCTGTCACCGCGATTGTTTTCGTCGCCCTCGGTACCAGCATTCCCGGTAAGTATCTAAAAACTGAGGATGATATACGAGGAAAAGGAGGAGGACATCGAGAAAAATCGTACTTACACTGGAAAAAGTCTTGTTGCACTAATTGCAATTCTGACAGATTCAATCAGAAAGGTATACTGAAAAAGAATTTATTAAATCTTAATGCATATTTCTTCGAAAGTAGTAGAACTAACTAAACATTTAGTAAATAAATATTTATCCTAATTAAAAAATGATAGTAAGTCACACAAATTAAGCTTATATCAAATAAATATGTGTTTACATTTAGTAAATATTTATTTAGAATTTCAAACAAATATTTTTGTAAATTTAATATTTTTTTTTACAAATTTTAGTGTACAAATTAAACACTTATTATTAAATCTATTAAATATCCTAATCGAGAAGTTTAATTACGATGATATAATCAGAATTTGTTCTTGTATAATCAGAACATTTTTCTCAGTATATTATTAAAAAAGCCATATCTCCCACATTTACCTTCCATTTCACATTTTGCATTGATCGCATTCCACTTATGACGTCTGCTGTATTACAACAGGCTTTTGAGATTAAGTGAGGAGAGCAATGATAATTTATTGCCCTTGGTCTTTGTGCCTGGGAATAATGGCTGCCGACGGCCTATGTTCTTTCGGGTGGAACGGTTAACACCTGCAACTATAAAAGAGTTAAATACTTTCTTCGTCCAACGTAGCACCAGATAGTTGCAGCATTGCTATAAAATTCCATTGTAAAATTGCAATATTGTATATGTCGTGCAAAAAATATTACTGCGTCGTAAAATTGTAGCAAAATTAAAAGGTTCGCCTTTAGAAGACTTACACTGCTCTATGTTGCGGTGAAATATATTTATGTTAAGAGATTACGTACATTTAAGAGGCCAAAAAATCAATAGCAATCTTCTCTGCCTTTCTTCCAGAATTGCAGAGAATTAAAGTCGAACGTACGCGGAAGAAAATAATAAAAAAAATTACTAAACTTTATTTCTTCTTCTATTTTACAAGTCTCCAATATTACAATGTAACCGTGTTGGAATTTTTCATTTATTTATTTCTTCGCAACAAAATTTTTTCGCATTCAACGTGGCATTGCCACAATTTACAAGATTACATCTCATTATAGCATTCTAATCAGAATGTTCTACATTGGATTTGTTCATTTTCCAAAATATTTTATTTTTTAAATTTAAAGTTAAAAATGAAAAAACAAAAAGAGGCGAGCCCTCTAAGAGCAGAAAGAACAAAAAAAAAGTAAAGAATAATTATGTGTGCAGTTGTAAGCAGCATAGAATTGATATAAGCGTAAGAAAACAAGAATACAAAATAATAATAATAAAGTATGCGAGTATTAGCAGTATAAATTAAAATAAGCGGAGGCAAAGCAATAAGTGATACGTTGTATGTAACAATAAGTTATAACGATGATGAACTGAAGTATGTTACAATGAAATTTTGAAGAGAATAATTATGGCAAGTGACATAAGTAGTTACAAAGTAATTATGTATAATAATTCGAGTGTTGTCGTATTCACATCACACATCATATTATGATATGCAAAGTGTGAATAAAACGAAAAGAGGAGGGAAAGTCTGATAATTGTGTGAAATAAGAAGAGCAGTGAGAAAAATCGCATACTTGATAGAAAGAAGGAATGATTGGCTAAAAAAAAATGAAGCATTCAGTTTGTGTGAATGTCTAAACAGTTAGAATGAATTTGAAATCGCAGATGACGAAAGAATTTATCCTTGAATTCATGTAGAGACGAGAGAGGGAGAGAGAGAGAGAGAGAGAGAGAGAGAGAGAGAGAGAGAGAGAGAGAGAGAGAGAGAGAGAGAGAGAGAGAGAGAG